TCTTCCTTTAGCCCCTGAAAGGCTCAATGGATGCTTTATTTTTCAAAGATTTTTTAAACAATTCCATCTCCCTGCACCTATAGCCAACTGATTTTCAACAAAGGTGCCAAGAACAGGCATGGAAGAAAAGTTAGTCATCGGTACTTAATGCTGGGGCAATTGGATATACACATCCAGGAGAACAAAACTGTTTTCCTCGCTCTGTCTCACCATACACAAAACCAACTTGAAATGGATTAAAGACCTAAATGTGAGAGCAAAACTAAGAAACTGCTAGAGGAAAGCAGAAAATATTTCAGGACATTGGAATGGGCCAGGGATTTATGAATAGGATCCCTTAAAACACAAGTAACACAAACAAAAATAGGCAACTGAGATTTCATCAAACTAAAATCTTCTGCACAGTAAACAATCAATAGAATGAAGAGACAGCCCAAAGGACAGGAGACAATGTTTGCAAACTGCCTCTGGCAGAGTTAATGACAAGAATATGTAAGGAACATACAAAACAATCCAATAGAAAAACAAATAATCCCATGCAACAATGGACAAGAAATCTAAAAAAAAAAAAAAAAAAAAAAAGATTACCATAAAAAAAAAGAAATCTAAATGGACATTTTTCAAAGGAAGATATCCAAATGGCTAACAGGTTATGAAAAAAATGCTTGACACTAGTAATCACTCAGAGAAATACAGATCAAAACCACAATGAGATGTTACCTCACTTTGATTACAAGGGTTGTTATTAAAAAAGGCAAAAGATAATAAATGCCAGTAAGGATATATGGAGAAAAGGGAACCTTTGTAGAGGGAATGTAAATTAATACAGCTGTTGTGGAAAATAGTAAGGGGTTCCTCCAAAAATTAAAAATAGAACTTCTATATGATTCATCTATTCCAATACTGGGAAAATATCCAAAGGAAGTGAAATTCGTCAGTTGGAGATATAGCTGCACTCCCACGTTCATTGCAGCATATTCACAGTAGCCAAGAAATAGAAATGATGTAAGTGTCCATCAAAAGGGTGAATGAATAAACAAAGCATATTATATAAACCCAGTGGAATATTATTTAGCCACACAAAGGACTAAATCCTGTCATTTTTAACAACATGAAGGGAACTAGAGGTTGTTATCTTTCATGAAATAAGGCAGGCACAGAAAGACAAGTTCTGCATGATCTTACTCCTATGTGAAATCTATAAAAGTTGATTCACAGAAGCTGAGAGTATAGTGTGGGGGTTATCAAAAGCTGGAGGGAGCAGAGGGTAAGAATATGGGGAGAGGTTGATTAACATGTACAGTTTTAGATAGGGGAAAGAAGTTCTAGTATACTATTGCAGTAAGGTGACTGCAGATAAGGATAATATACTGTATATAAGGACTTTTTTAAAACTTAGAAGAATTTTGAACGTTTTTGCCATAAAAATGATAATGGAGGAAATAGATATGTTTACCCTGATTTGAACTTACACAATGCACACAATCAAACATCACTCGAGGTCCCCTAAATATATGCACAATATATTACATATTATGTAAAATTTTGAAAAATTAAAATTAAAAAATCCATCTAACTGCTTTAGATGGTGAAACCCTTAGTATTTCAAACTCTCCAAGATCCTGAGTTTATTTCTGGACTCTCTCTATGCCCTTTCACTTCCTGATTGTGAATTGGCCAAGTCTAGGTCAGAGCAAAGGACACTATGAAAACCCAGGTATTTCAAACCCAGGTGTTCTCACTCTGGTGATCGGAGCTGCAGCCAGTCGCCTGAATGAGGGTGCAAGGAGGATGGAGCCCAGATTCCTCTGTGCACCAGGGTCTTCTGGGGAATTCATAAAACATACCAGTGGGAAGGTGAGCCTCCTTCCATTCTAACATCCCAAATCAGAATCTTTGGGAATGTACTGATATTTGGAAAGGAACTCGGATGATTTGGATGCACAGGCTACCTAGGAGTCATTTGATGCACAAAACAAGTCCCTAACCTTCACAGGCACGGATGAAAGGTGCCGTGCACAAAACTTATCTGGCAAAGTCATCAGCAAACCAGATCCAGATCTCAAAGCTAGATCGAAGTGCCCTGCTATCTATTATACATCTTTGCCAGGTTCCAGGTGTGGGTAGTCTGAAGAACAACCCGATTCCCCAAATGCCTACATCCTAATCTAATCTCTGGAAAGCTGTGCATATTTTTACTTAACATGACAAAAGAAATTTTATAGGTTAGTATAAGGATCTTGAGATGGATAGGATCTCTTGGATTATCCAGAGGTCCTGATAAGATGAAGGCAGGAAAGTCAGAGATAAAATGTAATTACAGAAGCAAAGAAGAAAGAGAGAGAGAGAGGGGAGAGAGAGAGAGAGAGAGAGAGAGAGAGAGAGAGAGAGAGAGAGAGAGAAAGAAAGAGAAAGAGAGAGAGAGAGACAGGGGTTGAAGATACAGGAAGAAACCACAATGAAAGAATGCAGGCAACTTCTAGAAATTGCTAAAGATCAGAAGACTCCTCCCCTCCCCAAATTCTTCAGGGAAATGCAGCCCTACTGATTCATCCCAGATTTTTCACTTCAGGTCTAGATGTATTGTTTTAAGCCATTAAGTCCATGGTAATTCCGTTCAGCAGTAATAAGAAACTGATACAGAATTTGGAACCTGGAAAAAGGTGCTACGTTAACCAACGCTTAGAAATGTGAACACAGCTTTGAAAGTGGGCAGTGGATGTAGGCTGGAAGAATTCTCAGCATGACAGAAAAGGCCTAAATTTCTGGGAATGGACATTGGCAGCAGCCAGAGCTGAATGCATTCCTTCCTAAAGGGGCCGTGATTGCCAATGCTTTGTGCTCGGTTTCATCATGCAAGGAGAGAGGAAGTCCATGTTTGGCTAGGGGTGGGGGGAAAGGATTGGAGAGTTTCTGAAAATAAATACACATGACTTGCAAAAACAATGTAGCCACGTGAGCAGATTATCTTGGGAGTTTAACCTGTGGATCCCTCTTCCCTTTACCTCCTAGACCTGGCCTCAGAGGACCTGGTCCTCTGTAAGCTAGGTGGGGTCTCACTTGTTTGTATTCCATGCCTGCCCTCTTTGGCCTCTTAGCATCCCTGCGATTTGAGATTTCATTTCCRATGGGCAAGACTGTGGACAGGAGGGATGGAAGAGAGGCAGGGAGGGCTGTTGGATCTGGAATGACGGTTAATGAATTTCATAGTTGCCAATATATTGCCTGCTGACTGATGGATGTATCAAGGCACTTAAGGCCATGAAGGAATCCCTCAACCTCCATCCGGGACCCTGGTTTGGTTCAGGGACGTAGAAATACAATCCCTTTCTTCCTCTCCAGCTTCAGCTGAGGAAAATGGAAGTTTTTTTTTTTTTTTTTTCCCAAGAGATGTTTCCAAATATAAAAGAGAACCTAGGTACCCACGAGTTTCTGTTTGTAACACATTGTCAGCCTGATTTTGTTGACAGAGACTTAGAGTACCCAACTACTCCTAAGTGACAACGAGCCAATATCTATCCTGGAATTGGAATCTGAGGGTCCTTGCCAGCCAGAGTTCTCCCCAGAACGTGATGCTACCAAAGGCACACTACCTGGTTGAGAAGGTGAGTACCATGCGGTTTTTTCACTGGTGTAAGAGGCTTGCTTTCCCTAGTGGGAGATGTCTGAGTGCCCAAGTGGGTCAGATACCCTATAGTGAGTCAAACGCTATTCCAGGGAATACAGGTAGATATTTAGGAGGAGAAGATTCATCCATTCAAATGGATGTTCCCAGGCTCCTGGGGTTGGGATGGGGATGGTGATGGGCAGAAGTGCATTCTGGTTTCAGGGAGGCTGCTCCCTTAAAATGGGGGTTGCAGGGGAGGCCTCCCCAGCCTGCATCCGAGGTCCCTCTCCTCCATCTAAACCCTGAGCATTTCACCCTGCCTCACTCCCTCTCCTCCAGGCTGACGGGCAGCCTCCGCATTCAGGCTCTCTCCTGCTGGACCACACTGTAGCCTCTCACTTCTCCCTGCGTCTTCATGTTGGCGTGAAGTCAGTGCATTCCATTTTCTGAAACTCACCTCTGAACTTCTGAACATGGCACATTCCTCCTCACTGGACTGAAGATGTTCAACTTTTCCTTCTAAAAGGAACCATAAAGTTGGGCAGGTCCCACCTGAACATTCAAAACCTTTCATTTAACCTTCCTTTCTAAACTTCGTAGCACTTCATCTAGGTGTGGACCCCCACTGCCATCTAATTGCTTTTCTCCCTCTTTGATGTACAGGTCATCAATGTCTCTACCTCCTGCTATTTTCTCTGACTCATCTTTTTATTTTTCTTAATGATCCTAAAGTTCTTTTTTTTTTTTTTTGGAGGAGTGGGGGTGGTGCAGAGGATTGAACCCAGGACCTTGTGCATTCAAGGCAAGCACTCTACCAACTGAGCTATATCCCAGCCCCTCTATAAGTTTTCCAGAAAAAAATAAAAACAGTAACTAGTTATCAAGAATAAGTTGGTCTTCTCCTTCCTGGGGAAACTTAATCTAATCAGCTTATTGATAGCCATCCCCCAGTGCCTACACTGTCTGAACGATTTCAGGTAATGGTGGGTGGTACAGATGGGAGTCACATAGCACAGTTAAGGGCGGTTGGAATATATTATAAGAAGGGCTTGGGCAAGGGCAGGGGACGTGAGAAAAGTCATGAGATTGGGGATTTGCTAAGCAGGTAAGTTACTAGGGTCACTGATGTTGAGGACTAGAGCAATGATACTGGAGTACCTGATTGGGCCTTGTTTTAAAGATTCGTCTATAGACACTCAGATGGGACCTCCCAGTGGAAAAGGCCAGGGCTGACCCACATCCCCATTCCTTCAAAACATCAGCTCCACCTCTAGAACCACGCCCCACCTTACCACCAAATGCGTATGCTCAGCTTTGTGATTTCCCTCAAGAAAATACCCAAAGCCAGGTTTTGTACAAAAATATACATTTTTATTCCATAGTTATATAATAATAATTTCCATAATAATATCTTTAACACTGCCTTGGGATTTCAAACATCATGTTCTTGCATTCATGATCTTTGCCAGGACCTTCACAAACATACCAGGTGAGGAATTGGGGTTCACAAAAGGAAAAACCACATGTCCAAGTTTCAGAATCTAAAGAAATACCGTTACTCACAGAAAATAAAATTAAAGCATCAATAACTTAAATAAGATTAACATTACTTAAGGCATCGTGTTTCATACCAATAAACAAAGTTCATATACTAGTGTTAGGGTTTGTGGAGGGAGAGCTAGTGGCAGATAAGTTAGCTACAGGTTCTGGGGTGGTGAAGTTAGCGTTCACGGGTGCTGCAGTGCCTAGACTAGTCGGGTTCCGGTTCCCTTCAGTTTTCTGGTCCATTTTGGCAACGTAGTCCTCAACCCACTTCTGCAGGGGGTCAGCACAGATCTCTTTGTTCAGTACGGTGGTGAAGCTGTGGAGAGAGAGGACCCGGTTAGATGGAGTGGCTCTGCTGTTTCAGCCATTCTGCATCGAGGGGCTGCCAAGGTGGCTAGGGGAGGAGGGCAGGTGGTCGGAGCAACTCCAGAGAAAGCCGCTCCTCTGGATTTCCCAGGGGAAGCCGTGGGACCTCAGGCTAATGAAACAGGGATGGTCTGAGTGAGCGGTCTCACAATAGAGAGTGATGTTAGGGGTCACTGTTTCCCTCCTTCCTATTGGGAACCACTGGACATTGGATCAGAGAGTGTAACTCTCCAAGATGACCCTTTGCTTCCTGAGAAAGAGCTCTGGACCAGAGAGAGAAGATATGCTCAACTTACATCACAGCTTCTTTGGGACACTTGCTGCTGGTGACTCTCCTATAGCTCATCAGCCTTTTCATGGGGATCTTCCTGCTGGTGAGTGTATAGCAGCAGGTGACTGGGGAATTAACTGCATCTGAAAAATAAACCACATGGAAAAGGCATTTTTAGGATGGGCTAGGTACTTCTGACCTTAGAGCAGAAAAGAGTTATGAGGAGAAGGAAAGGGGAACCACTAAATCCCAATACTTCTGCCTATATATCAGAGCTGGAATATGATCTTTGACATGTTGACTCGGTTTTCTGTGCTGCAAAATGGGTATGCAATATTGGTAATGGAGAGAAGAAAGGGAAGGTAATGTAATGGTCTAATAATTCAAAATTATCAGGACTAAAAAAATAATAATAATACCTGGAGGCCTTAGCAATGGGCTTGGTGGGCTCCAAAATTCTATGCCTGGCTATGAGCTTCCCTGATATCCACTACCTCTGCAGAACCTCTGTCTATGGAAGTTGGGCTGGATGAAGCACAGACCAGGTGGGGAAATATCCACTTTGATCACCCAGGACTACTGACAGCAGCTGAGGCAGTAACTTCCCAGGGGCATGTTTCCAGAGCTAGAGTCCTGGAAGGAGCTGGAGTTGGTCCAGAGCTGGGAATCTAGCCCAGGCTCTGCCCAGCAGCAGCTGTGTGATTGGGGTCACTCCTRGCCTTCTCCGAGTTGCCTGATCTTAGAAAAGCAGCTGCTAAGGTGAGGCAAGGGGGTACCCCTTGGGATGTGCTGGGCATAATGACCCAGAGATGGGGTGATATGTTTCAGGGTGGAGGGGGCAGGGTCTTACCTGGCTGAGCAAGCACGTGGGTGCTGAAGGCGGCTACTGTGAGCATCAGGCACAGAAGAGCTGCGGAGACCTTCATGGTGGAGGATGAGAGAGAGAGAGAGAGAGCTCGAGCTTCAGCCTGGGAGTTGGAGGTTTCTGAGTTGTTCTCAGCTCTCTGCTCTTTGGATGGCTCTGTCTCTGCCTTTTATGGAGAGTCAAGAGGGTGGAGCCAGCCAGGAGGCTTGGCCCAGGGCAGCTTATTCTCAATGAATGATGCAGTGGAATCTTGAATCTGCTGAGCAAGAACAATACCCTGGGAGATTTCCAGGAAGTGGAAGAGGGACACTTGTGGGTTAGAACTTGGCACTTTTTTCCATCTGCTGAGACCAAAGGAAGCGAGGACAGGAGGGGCAGCGGACAGTAAAGGGGACTAACCACAGACATGAACCAAGTGGGTTATTCTTAACGATTCTGCTTCCTCTGAAGAAAAAGGAAGAAAGTAGGGAAACAGAGATGACCAGGGAGATGAGAGGCCTGTCCCTTCTTAGCCCCGGCCTACCTTCAGGCCACAGTCCAAGGGGTCTTGGAGCCAGGAAATTGCCCAAAAGCCTTGGTGGGCACCTCAACAGTGCTATTAAACAAATTCATTTGCTTTTTAAAATGCAGGGTGCAGGCATAAAAGATGCCTAATAGAACTGTAGGGTGCCATCAACATGGAACTGAATCCTAAGGGTTGTGAGATTTCAGACTTGGCAGAAGCCATATAAATCAGGTCGTGCTGCAGAAATTATTTCCATGTCATAATCATACGGTGCTTACACCATGTCAGGAATATCCCAAGCCCTGAACAAAGTCTTTAAATTCTCCCGTGACTGCAAGCAGGTCCTATTAATTCCCATTTTATCACTCAGGCAACTGAGTCCCAGAAGGGTTATCTTTGCAGCCTGCCCAAGGTCCCCAGGCAGCTCAGCCCCAGGGGCTGTGCTGTCGTCAGAGCGGCACACTTCTGGAAGGAAACATGCTCAGGTTGTCCAACTGGCTGCAGGACCGTGTATCTGGCTCCCCTCTCTGTGCTCAGCCTCTTCCAAATCAGCAGACAGCTAATGGGCAGTTTGAGGAGCATCCCTTTTGTGGTTAAGTCACTATGAGCAAGGAGCCTGTGGTTCATGTGGCAGGCAACCGTGGGCCAGAAGGGCACACATCCTGACTTGGTGGCTGTTCTCCCAGCTTCTTTCTGGGTTTCCAGGGAGCATGCATGAGCAGAGGCACCTTATTTCGGGAACTGGAATGCACGGCTTCACTCTGCAGTTCTGCTCGGATTTCCTCAGAAAACATGCCCTCCATAGTAATAAAAATGGAAAAAGCTGAGAATTCTTTTCAGACACTCCCTCTTACGCAAACATGTCAGGATTGCTTGAGGCACGTCAAGTGGCCCTGCCAAGCTCACAACTCAGGACTCTTGACTCCCCCCCAGTCTCCTGCCTGGTTGTGACCTTGCCCGATGCATCAGGACAGACCTAGGGCTCTTTCTCCATCAGGGGTCACGGAGACAATGTCTGTGAATGCACGGCATGGCACTTCTTGGAAGAAAACATGTGCCAGTCATGGTATATGTTATACAAATGACAGCGTCTGCTTGGTAGTAAGTAGTCAGTAATGGCATTTTGGGGTGTCTACCAGGAGCCAGGCCCCATGCCAGAGGGCTTCCCGGCACTGTCTGGTTCATCCTCCAACAACCCCACATTCCCTCAGCTGAAACTGAGGCTCAGGGACCTGTCCGGGGTCTCACAGGTAAGAGCATGTGGGGCCGAGACGCCCACCCAGGACACTCTGACTCTGGAATCCCTGCTCCTGGACACTAGGGTTAGTGTCTCATGACAGAGAATCTTAGAGAATCTAAGGGCAGGGAGCATTCTAGACTCTTGGGTGGAATTGCAGAAAGGCAGAAGAAGGAAGAGAGAACAGATCAACTTGTTCACTACTTTGCTGGCACCTCACCCAGAGTCTTAATTCCATTTCGCCYGAGTCTTGCTAGTTACCCTTTTCCTCTCTGGCTCCTGTTGAACCCCTTGACTCCACCCTTCCCGCCCCGCAGCTGGCTCACTTCTTTCCCTGTGGCTCATTCTCTTCTTGTCAAATGAATAAAGCACTTCCAGGACTTGATACGGTCATTTCTTCCCAGACCTTGTCTCACCTGAGCTTCCAAGAAGTTTACCCCCATGTGGATAGAATGAGGGTCAGTGTGGGCTTTTCTGTGAATGTGTCCCCGTGGAATCCGGTCACTCCTTGGTCTTTCTCTAGGTTAACCAGTTGCAAGATGCCAAGACCTTGAAGCTACTCTTCCCTGGTTCTGGCAGGTCACTCTCACCCATGGAATTTTAGACCCAAAGGACCTAAAGTGATTGTCCAGCATGCAGCTGTCCTTCTGTAAGTGGAAGCCATAGTCCCAGAGTGGGAGGCCCATGGGTCTGGGCGGCGGGGGGGGGGGTGTCCCAGAGAGAAGCTCTGGGCCTTGCTGAGTATTTGGGCAGCCTTTGGAAGAGTGGAAGGGGGGTCTCCACTCCAGGGAGGGGTTCGTGGTCATTGGAAAGTGAACGGGGCCAACGCAAGACTCAGACAGTCACCACTCGAAGGTGAAAGGGTGTGACTCATCAAAGAAAGGGATAGTCTGTTTTCCTTCCACTTCTGTCAGGAGGAGATGCCCTCCGCAGGGACAAGGAGAGAGAAGAGTGGAAATCCCCATTCTGAGGCAGTTTTGGAAGTTCCCAAGGAGGAGGAGAGTGCTGCTGGGCTGCGGCCTGCATTCCAGATGCTGGGCCTGGAGCCAGGAAGCCCGGGCACGTGCTCMGGGCTGTGCTGAGGAGACATCTCAGAGAAAGCCTGGGCTGGGCTCCTGCTGGGGGGGCCCCCTGAGGGAAATGCATGGAGGGGTGGTGTGGGGGTGTGAGGACCCTGGCTTGGATGTTCTATAGAATTCCCAGTTCCCCCGGGGACCCSTCCCCAACAGCACATAGATGAGGAATGGAAAAGTTCCTGTCTCGATGAATAATCTTCCCTTCCTTCCTCCCAGGGGACTGACCCCACGCTAGGATCATCTGCCGGTACCTTGGTCATGGCTGTGGGCTCCCACTCAGGGTCAGGGTGAAGGAAAGAGGAAGTGAGAGTGAGCTTTCTAGAAAGATGAGAAACCAGCGCCCAGGGGCCCCTTCTTTCTTACCTCCGCCCACCCTGGAGCACGGGGTCCCCTGGCCTGTGCTGGCCGATGTCCCTCCCCCGGCCGTCCAGTGAGATGCACKGTCAGCTCTGCCCCCGGCCTGCCTCCCTCCAGCCTCGCCCTTCTGCTCTCCCCCAGGTGAGCTCTTGGGGTAGCTCCGTGATGCTTCTCCTTTCAAGGACCAAGATCCGTCATGATTCTTTGACAGAGTGCCGGACAGGAACTGGACCTGAGAAGTGGTCTCTCTATCTCCCTGATGGGGACCCTGAGGTCAAGGACAGGCCCAAGTGACAGAGAAGACTAGTCGCAGGGTCTGTGCATCACTGGGCTCTCCGGGGAGTGCCTTGTCACCTGCACCGCACATCTCCTGAGCATATTCTCCACCCACTCAGCGTCCACCGGCCCAGGGGACCAGGGAGGGGATGGCGTGTGTGGCGGGATTGAGGCAGCCACAGAGCTAACTCTCCGACAGAGGCGGCTCCGCCAGTGCCCATGGGAAGCAGGACTGAGCTTCTGAACAGACCTGAGCAGTGCCCACCCCAAGCTTCCAGCCTCCAGGCCCAACCAGTGAGCTGTCCCTCTGGCCTAGACTGGAGTCCCTGCTCTTGATGAGGCTTCAAGAAGTATCTGCAGTTGCCTTCCACATTTCTAGGATGGAGAAAGGTCCCAAACTCTGGGCTTCCCCTAGATTAGATTTGCTGAGTTACAGTCTGTATTTTTTTTTTTATATATAAAACTTTGTTTTTCCCCCTGAGATCTCCTCCTCTCTCAGATGATTGTCAGCCTGTCAGGGGGACTTTCAGGGATAGAGCCTAGGGTCTAGGAAGTAAGGGCCGTGCTGGCTGGGAGGGCGGCATTAACAGGAATAAGGTACAGGCAGACAAGAAGAAAGAAATAGGTGGGGTGGGAAGTGGGGGAAAAGCAGAGGTAGCCCAGAATAGTGGATAGAACCCCAGGTGATGGCAAGAGCTCCAAAGCCAGAGGCCTGGCTCTAGCTCTGGCTAGCTGTGTGGCTTTGAGCAAGTCCCTTGACCTCTCTGGGCCTCTTTTGTGAAAGGTGATTAGTAAATAGCTGTCATGAGACTTGTATGAAGAAATAAACCAAGAGTGCTTTGTAAGCGGCATGCAAAGAGCTGGGTCAGTCTAAGGAATGTCCGGTAGTCTCGGGGACATCTTCCAGGCAAGTGGCCTTGCCCAGGCGGTCAGTGTGTACACTCCTGATGCCCAGTGCCAGCTTCTATTCTCACTGGTCTCTCTGAAGGTGAGTTGCCATGTCTATTATAGAGAGTACAGTCAGGTTCCAGCATTCCAAGCTCTCAATCACCTCTGCTCTGTCTGTCTGTGGACAGAAAGTCTTTGGGGATTGACAGGAAGCTGAAGGTCAGGTAGGCACAGTGGCCCACACCTGTAATCCCGGCGGCTCGGGAGGCTGAGGCAGGAGGATCACATGTTCAAAGTCAGCCTCAGCAACTTAGCGAGGCCCTTGGGAATTTAGCAAGACCTTGTTTAATATTTTAAAATATTAAAAATGGGCTGGGGATATGGCTCAGTGGTTAAGTACCCCACGTTCAATTTCTTGTACAAAAAAAAAAAAAAAGAGTCAAAGATCAGAGACAGCAACCCCAGAATCACGCCAGGCCTCACACAGCAGTCAGTACCCATGGAAGTCCTACGTCTAGAGCACTCTGTGCTTCACCCCACCCCGGCACCTGACACAGCCCTATYTCTCAGGAGCACCTTCTCCACACTYAGCTGCTTGAATCCATTCTGAATCTCAACACATTTTCCCCAATGTCCGCATGGTAGGATGATTTAACACCCGACAGGGAAACTAGGAGAGAAGCAAGACTTTAAGTTTCCCRAGTTCTTCTCTTATTCAGTTTGGGGAAGAGAGAGTGGTAGAGCTGGGGGCGARCGGGGGTGAGGGCCCCCCTAGCAGAG